TCCCCCGGGACATTACGACACCATGTCGTCGACGACAAAGCTGGTGATTCCCGGCCTACAAACAGAGCTCCGAGCGGGAGTTCAACGAGTGGTTCCGCAACCTGCGGACCGCGGCGAAGCAACACAAGTACCTCCTCGACATATCGAGGTGGGCACCATCCGGCCGGGCGCGGAGCGCGAGGCCGAGGCGGTCGCGCTGCACGTGCGCTACAAGAACATCGGCACTGCGGACGGCCTCATCCCGGCCATGATCGACAAGTTCTTCAAGGACCTGTCGGTGACTCTGTCGCGCCAACTCTACGGTGCGCTGCAGAACGCCGTCAAGGACGACGACACGCTCGCCGAGATGTTGGCGGACGAGGACGCCGACCACTACGACGACATCAAGAAGGGCATCGCGGCGATCAAGTCGCTCATCGAGTCGGAGGACACGAACTCCAAGAACGTGCGCACGAAGGCGCTGCGCGCGGATCTCGAGAAGGCGTACTCCCCCGACGCTCTCAAGGACCTCACGTCCGCGAGCCTCGCCAAGTTCAAGACGGGCATCGAGCAGGCGAACAAGTTGCTCAAGGACTCCCAGTGGCACCTCCCCGACGAGGTGATCGAGGAATACATCCTCGACGCGATCGCCGCCAAGGGGGCCACGCTCGGCGCAAACATGCGCGTGCAGATCGGCATACAGCGCCAACTCGCCGCGCAATCGGGCAAGACGTACGGCCTCAAGGCGTCCACGCTCGCGATGCAGGGCATCCTCGACCAAGACAACGCGGACCGCGCCAACGAGGCCAAGGCGGCTGCGCAGGCGGCGTTCGAGGCGGAGATTGCCTCGCAAGGCGTGCTCAAGGAGAAGCTCGCGGCCGCCGAGTCCCAGGTCGCCGCTCTCCAGGCGCAGATCAAGTCCGACAAGGGCGGCCCAAGCACTACAAGGACATCGCCAACATCCGCGACCCCAAGCTGCGCGACGCGTGGTACAAGGCGTATGACACCGAGTTCCTCGGCCTCATCCAGAACGGCACGCTCAAGCCCATGCGCCGCCCCGCCAAGGTGCGCGTCCTCCCGCTGAAGGAGATCGCCTCCCGGAAGTCCGACGGCCGGTGCAAGTGGCGCTGGCGGCGTTGGCGCCGACGGATGCGCCGAGCGGCATCAGGTGGATGTTGAAGTCCTCCCCGAAGTAGATGGTCTGCCCGGAGGGGTAGTTGAGGCGTGGTGGGCAGAGGTCGAAGCGGACCACGATGTTCTGCGCCTTGCACTCCTTGACGCTGACGAGAGGCATGGCGAGTCCGGGCGCGTACAGCGCGTTCACCCACTCGGTGTTCACAACCTTGGTGTCCTGCGGCTTGGTCGGGTCAGCCAGCGCGAAGGCGTACGCGGTGCCGACGCCCTTCGCCTTGAGGTAGTCGTTGTTTGCGCAGCGGATGTAGATGGGCTTCTCGGGCTCGCGCCACCCGTGAGGGAAGTAGTCGGGCGTCGGGAACATGTTCATGCCCGCCTTGGAGTCGACGCCAGCAGCATACGATCCCGGCATGTTCACACCGGCGGTCGTGTCGTACGCGTCGACGACCTTGACATGCCCGACAAGCGCGTGTGCCTGCATCGCGTCCATGCGCGCCACGTACATGGCGAGCATGATGCACGTGTACGAGAGGACGAGCGGGACCGTCTTGGGCACGTCGATGTCATTCACCGCGCGGAACATGTCGCCCGCGACCTTGCGGTAGATCGGCTGGAGCGGGTCCTCCTCGATGGCGTACTCTGCTCCGCCACCTGAGCCAGTCGCCGGCCCGGTGGACAGCTCGAGGGGTAGTGCGGTGACGGACTCGACCATCACGCCCATGTTCGAGGGCTCGTCCACGGCGTCGGCCACAGGCGTGCCGATCGAGGCAGGCGAGCCCATGTAGACCGGGATGAGGCACGCGAGCAGGACGAGTAGGATGGAAGCGCCGATGTACGGGCGAGGCAGCGCGGTGACGGACGAGGTGAACTTGACCCACAGCCCGCCGCGCGCCCGTGCCTCCGCCGCATTGCGCGCCGCCGTCTTGGCCTTGAGGATGGCGGGCGTGTCGGTGGGGTTGGAGTCGGGGAAGGTGTCCTCGACCTGGTCGGTGCCGACGCCAGCGACAAAGCCGCCGACGATGCCGTCCGGGTCGAACGTGCGGGTGACAGAGTCGGCCAGCGCCGCCCGCACCTCCTCGTGGTCGGTCGCGGTGGAGTCCGACTTCTTGAAGGGGTCGTGCGGGAGGGTGCGGCCGGGGGACTTGGCGCACACCTTCTTGTACGAGGACTGGGCCATGCGCACCTTCGTCTCGTGGTCGATGCGGTCGGGGAGTTCCTCGAGCACCTTGGCGACAGGGACCCCCTTGCAGATGAGGTCGCCGATGCACTTGCCACCGTGCAACCCATTGCAGTGGGGGCACGGCTTGCGCCCAGCGGCTGCGCGGCCGCCGCGGTCCCCGCCGCCCTTGTCGGACTTGATCTGCGCCTGGAGAGCGGCGACCTGGGACTCGGCGGCCGCGAGCTTCTCCTTGAGCGCGCCTTGCGAGGCAACCTCCGCCTCGAACGCCGCCTGCGCAGCCGCCTTGGCCTCGTTGGCGCGGTCCGCGTTGTCTTGGTCGAGGATGCCCTGCATCGCGAGCGTGGACGCCTTGAGGCCGTACGTCTTGCCCGATTGCGCGGCGAGTTGGCGCTGCATGCCGATCTGCACGCGCATGTTTGCGCCGAGCGTGGCCCCCTTGGCGGCGATCGCGTCGAGGATGTATTCCTCGATCACCTCGTCGGGGAGGTGCCACTGGGAGCCCTTGAGGAACTTGTTCGCCAGCTCGATGCCCGTCTTGAACTTGGCGAGGCTCGCGGACGTGAGGTCCTTGAGAGCGTCGGGGGAGTACGCCTTCTCGAGATCCGCGCGCAGCGCCTTCGTGCGCACGTTCTTGGAGTTCGTGTCCTCCGACTCGATGAGCGACTTGATCGCCGCGATGCCCTTCTTGATGTCGTCGTAGTGGTCGGCGTCCTCGTCCGCCAACATCTCGGCCAGCGTGTCGTCGTCCTTGACGGCGTTCTGCAGCGCACCGTAGAGTTGGCGCGACAGAGTCACCGCCAGGTCCCCGAAGTACTTGTCGATGATGGCCGGGATGATTCCCTCCGCAACGCCGGTGTTCTTGTAGCGCACGTGCAGCGCGACCGCCTCGGCCTCGCGCTCCGCGCCCGGCCGGATGGTGCCCACCTCGATGATGTCGAGGAGGTACTTGTGTTGCTTCGCCGCGGTCCGCAGGTTGCGGAACCACTCGTTGAACTCCCGCTCGGAGCTCTGTTTGTAGGCCGGAATCACCAGCTTGTCCGTCGACGACATGTTGTCGTAATGTCCCGGGGATCGTTGCCCCGCCGCCACCAACTGTGAAGGTCTTCAGTGACCACTCACAAGCTGTTCCAAGGCCCGACAGAAATGTACTGTCAAAACTTTGTTCAAACAAAAGTCCTGGCCCGCGGCCCCCACACCCACAATGACTATCAATCCAGGCTGCGGGTGAAGGGCAAAACCGCGCCGCTGCAGAACGGTTTTTGCAAAACCGCGCCGCAGCGGTACGAAACTGCGCAGATGCAGTCCAGGGGTGGTAAGGACACTATGTGTGTGTGTGTGGCCGTAGACTAGACGGGGCTGCGCGGTCGTCGGTCTTCAACACGCACGGCGCTGGAGTTGAGGACGACCTCGTTGTC